ATTTAATGCCACCCCCCCCCCAAATTACAAATCTACATCTATTCTCTCTATCCCAAAGGTGGATCGGAAGCATGAAAAACAGATGCAGACTCGGGACAGTTGCAAGGGGGGCTATAAGGGAGAAATTCGTTTTGATTTTGAGTCTAACTGAAATATTTTGTCACAAATATTAATTAAATACGCAAATAGCCTGTTTTATTAAATGAGACTAGGGCAAAAAATCTATTCATTAAATCTAAAGCCTAGACGATATCTTCTGTAATCGAGGTGGTTTTGGTACACTTCCGCAATTATAAAAACAAAAACATAGACTAAGTTATCAATCTTTTGTTATCATATCAGATTAAGTCAGTTTTGTCTCCGATTGTTATGCAGGTGTGTGTATCGACTCCAGTGAACAACATTAAGTGAATCAATCCTTGAAATTCTCAAATTCATTCCAAATTCTGGCCGTTAACCCCCCCCCCTCCCCCATGTCTCTTAATTACATTTATTTTGCAAATGATATATAAATTATAGATTAAAATATTTCATTTTCGAATTGCACAAAGGGCAACATGTGAAGATAAAACCGCGATCCTAAAGCTACTTGCGAAACAAAGTGGTTTATGGTCCCCAATATCATTATTATATTAATACCAATACAATGTACCTCTATGAATATCATAAATTCACTCCTTTTTAATATCAATAGTCAAACAAATTAAGTAGTATGCTACAGTTGGTTATCAATCGGAGTTCACGACCTATTGATTACTCTTTAATACAAAATTTAACCATTTTAGAATGGGTAACTCACACCCCCCCCCGTCCATGTCCATGAAGTGCGTAGACTGACATAATAGTGTCATTTATTAATTAAACATCACTGATTTATGTTGAGACATTCAGTGCGATTATTTCATTTCTTTGTTCAAAAAGTTAAAGCACCAATTAAATACATATTTTTATCACACAAAAGGGGCAGAATACTTGACCTTGTATCAATTCATATCCCAATAATTCTTTACAAGGGAATGTTTCTTATTAAAACATAAGCAGCGCCTAGGCGTCGATTGGGGGGGTCAATCCAGTGTTCTCAGGCTATGTACAGCCAAGTATCCTGTTTATGTAAAAACCCTACGTTCCCGAATCACAATCAGACAATTAATTAGTATATTTGCTGTGTCTAGCAATTGATCATAGAATTAGATGTTGCGAAAACTATGGGAACTTGTACCTGTCTGTTTATGGATAGGCTGGGAAAGAACAGCAGAGAAAATGGTACATTCGATTGAATATGCTTGTTTTGCCCAATTGTGTATTAAAATGCCCCTCATTTATCATATGTAAGGTCACAAGTTAAGTCGGCGATAATTTGTATTGACTTAACTTGAAACAAATTACTCCGAAATCCAAACACTCATCGAAAAGTAAGGTTATCTTTATATTAAGCTAATACAAAATAAATATATAAATAGGCCTGATGTATCAGTGTTTTCAAAGTTTATTGCACGTTTTATCCTTGAAATGCCTTTCTTTTTCTTATCATGATATGTATTTCCTTCACTTAGGATCAATGCGTCGATTAGCATTGCCTGTAACTGATTTATATTTTCAAAAGGCGGCATGAAATTGCCAAAATGTTTAAATAAGTCAATGTGTCAGCGTACATACAAAATAGTCTGTTTAATATTTGCTACATGTACTTGTTCCAAACAGTCTGCGAAAGAATGATTAAAAAATATATCAATTAAAAGTATCAGAGAAAATACTTGCAATCGTTAAAATACTGTATGTATTGCTATTGGTAATTAGGTTAGTTGTTTACACATAATTATGTTGTTCAGTGTGCCAAGAGCGTGTCAAGAGATTCCATTAATTGTCACAGGGCGTGTAAAGACTTTTTGACACGGTCTTTACACGTCTTTGTACTGCGTGTGCCAAGAAGTGCAAAGAGGTGTAAAGAGTTGAATTCATCGCGTGTCAAGAGGTGTAAATAATTGGCACGTCTAGAAACCCGGCGTGTAAAGACCAGTTTCTAGACGTGTCAAGAGTTGGAATCCCATATTTCACGCAGTGTTTAACGTAAATAAAAACAACAAAAGGATTTGAAAAAACGAAGACTGTATCAAAACTCGAATTATAGAAATGATTTAGGGTTACTCATACACATGGTTGCTCTTTTACATACACTCCCCTCCATAAGTTTGGCAACCTTTTTTCCCCATTGAACTACGTGTTAAAGCCTCTTTACGTTTGAATTTTTATTTACTTAACCGGCGATGAAATAACTTTTAATATTGATAGAAACGTAACTTGACTTTATTTCCAATACCTCCAAATTTTCTCAATTTTTTCCTCAATTACAATAGGTCGAAAATTGATGATAAATTTGATGAATTTTTGAAAATCGTCATTCCCATGTAATCCAATGAGAAATGGAGGGTTCGGGGCAAATTTGAAATCAGGATATCTTTTCAGTAAAAGATTCAGCAAAAAATATTTTTATATAGAAAATTGAATTGTCTAACTTTTTTGAACACTAAGTGTTTAGTTTATTTGATGAATATTAAAGTTACAGCGCTTCAACAGTCGAAATGTTGAGGCATGCGCAGACCTCTATTTAGTGATATTTTCATTTCAAATATGGCGGCCAATTCGATGTCTGACGACCCTTACAAAGAATCTAGGCAGTTTGCATTTTTACCTCCTGTGAAATAACAAGTGGAATTTAGTAGTTGTTTTGTGCTTTATTATCATTCTGCATCGTAATTCTATGTGATGTGGTGTTGAAATATCAGCAGAAATACATATCCATACGATAATCGAGTGAATCAGATAACAGATTTTTCGAAAACCCGTCTCGTGCTAAGAGTGTAAAAACTTGTATTAACATGCTCAAAAGTGCCAATGTGCACATCAATGTCAAGCTAAATCAATGTTGTGTCTAAAACAGGTAACCGATCTACTCAAAACAGCTTGTCATTCACGTATACACGCTTGGCAAACACGGCGAAATGACCTGAATCTTGGAATTTCGTTCGAGAGCTAGTAATGTTTGCTCCGGTCTTCGTCATAAGTGTTCATCAGACTTCACGCATGCGCAGGAGAAAAACCATCAACCAATAAGGTTTATAAATCAATTTTGCGCATGCGCCTTACAACGGTAAAGAAATTCGTATTTATAAACGAACCAGTTTGAGATAACCCGATATCAGTCGGAGAAATCTGACGATCTACGAAACTCACTTCAAAAAATCAAATGCGGACTGACGGCGTATTCTACTATGTTTGGATCTAAGATTTTCAGTATAGATAAAGTCTTTTATGATCTTTCGAATGAGGTAAGTCTCTAGTTCGAAAGACAATCGTATCAACTTGAACAAAAGTTGAGTTTTGACGAAAAATTTTAACATGCGCAGAAGTCCCATTTTCGTTGTACCCTGGCCCGTAGCCAGGATTTGCCAAGGGGGGGGGGTTCAGTTTTCAAAAATTTCCAGGGGGGGTTCACATTTGACAATTTTGGCCCAAATATGACTAAAATCACTTGAAAAGTGCTCAAAATGGTGAAAAACTGCATGATTTTGAAAGAACTTTTGGCCAGGGGGGGTTCGCCCGAACCCTGCGAACCCCCCCTGGCTACGGGCCTGGTACCATATTGACTGTCAAAGTCATTTTTGAAAATAATTTTTCGCCTCCTGTGTTATTTCAATGGGAGAGGTTTTTGAAAAACAATTTTGACTTTAAAGCCCTATAACTTTGTTGAACCTGAAGAAACAACTCAATTTTTTGATGAAATAAAGTTAGCAAATTCAATTGCCTGCCTAACTCGTATTTTTGCAAGGACTCGGATTGATGGATATTCTGTCATATGACTTGCGGCAAACCTACCATTTCTCATTGGTTAACATGGGAATGTCGATTTTCAAAAATTCATCAAATTAATCATCAATTTTCGACCTATTGTAATTGAGGGAAAAAATTAAGAACATTTTGAGGTATTGGAATTAAAGTCAAATTACATTTCCATCAATAGTATAAGTATTTTGATCGCAGGTTAAGTAAATAAAAATTCAAAGGTACAGAGGCTTTAACACGTAGTTCAATGGGGGAAAAAAGGTTGCCAAACTTATGGAGGGGAGTGTATATCATATGTGGTCGGTATTTGCCGTTTTGATTTAACCCCGAGGCTACCTACCTGGGGAGAACATCGGTGGTCGGTTGGCTCGGTATATTTCGTAAACCCGTCTCCCAAGGCTCTCTGCGAGACGAGTTGCGCAAAACAAATTACCAGATTTTCATATTCAGAATTAACTCTTAGTTATCAGTGTATGTACAGTGGACACTCTTCACACAGTGTCTTAAATCTGCTCAAAATCTCCATTATTTTGAATATTAATTCCATTCGTCAAGATTTCAGGGAATAAGTAGCACTCGATCGTTTTAGCATAAATTACTGAGTGTGCCAGAGGTATCGTCACTTTTGTATTTTATGACTAGTAAGTGTGCCCAAATGGGTGAACTACAGGGGTAAACTAATACTGGGAAATACAAGACTCGAGTAATTAATTGATTTGAATTTTGGAGCGATACATCTGGAACCTATTCTAAAGTGAGTTAACAATGGGAATCTACAATTCTGATAAAAAATAAAGTGAACACGTGTTTTCAAAGTGAAACAAGAACTAAAATCGGAAGACCTCTCTTGGTCTTCATCATAACGTACTTTAATTTTGTTGAAATATTTCTACACAACCTTTAAATGTGACGATCGGTAAATTGTAGCGTTACAAAGACGTTGCCAAATATCGACAGGAAAATAACCCTTGCTTTCAGAACAACAGACGCACATAAATCACAGCAAAATCAAACGTGGAATAAATCTTCACAGTTAGGGTCATCTATAATCGCATTATATTAATTTATCATATGCCATTATACGTTAATAATGTGTGTAAAAAGCCTAATGCGCTTGCAAGCCTTTAATACAGACAAAATTAATTTAGAGTATAACTAACCTGTAGTATGAAAATATAACGGTAGCTGGTAAAAGAAGGAGAATACTGATGACGTTACACATAAGGCCGATCCAGACTCCCGCTACATGGCCCTGGAAAAAGTTTTGATAAAGTAGTATGCGTATTGGATCTGAAGTCCTGCGTTTGGCTAAATAGCTCATTTTTTGCACATACGAGTATATTGAATATTTTCCAATTTGCTCGATTTCAACGTGCTCTAAATTTTTTTTAGTGAATTGAGATCTTTTAAATACTTGTTCAAAAAATAAAAAATACAAAGAAATGTAAGTTGCCCGAATATGTAATAAAATCGCGTTCAAACAAAACTTCAACGAGATTTCAAAGCTAAAATGCTCCTAGAACTTTATTATGATGTACCTACCTGTTTGTCGACGCAGCCAGTGTAATCAGTCCATTCCATTCCAGTTCGTTTTAGCCAATAGGGATGCGTTCCATTGTCGACACAAGTCTTGGAAGACATTTCTTTAAAAACATTTAGCAAAATGTAAAACAAAAGATGTGATTTGACGAACAAAATAGTTTGAGACACTTTGTATTAATCTAAAACAGTACTATTTGTGTAAGCATCTAATATCTTATTCACCTGTTTGCTTTGAGACAATTAATCGCCATTTGCAGCCAATAAGCTTATCGTCATAATTTGCAATATAGCTTTATTAGCAAAATTAACTCAATTGCCAAGGTTAGCTTAAGCAACCAGATATTGTAAAATATTATCCTAATTACACAAAGGCCTTAATAAAACGACGATAGCCTAAAAATCATCAACAGTAACTAGATGTACGATTGGGGACGAATGGGGACACTTGGAGTCGTCATTATGTTACTTTCCAGAAGTGTTATTCAAGACTAAATAAACTAAGCCTTAAATTAGTTAGTAAGAATATATAATATTGGCTGATCTCGTGACGCCCTCAATCCAATGTGAAATGACCGACTATACTCAATTTTATCCAGGGGGCATTATTGTTTGTGAGATTGCACTTTGATTTTAACTTTGATGATCTTAACTTTTATGCATAACACCTATATCTGAGATTTTCGTATATCATGCATACATCAGTTCAGATGGGGTGCGTACATATGTAACACCATGTATTTTAGAAAGTACTAACTGTGTATTATTAATGACAATACTACTGCACTTACTCATGGGCATCGCATGGGCAATGAAGGTAGGGCAGGTCTCAGTAGCTACGGTGCCTGGTTTTGTATCCCCCCAACAGCCGTACCCGTCCCATGTTCTTGGGCACATTATACCTTGTCCGGGAGGCTCGACAAGCTGTGTTTTACAACATGCGTACGCAGCTAGGCAACAACTACGCCATCTATTACATTCATCTGCACTGTCCAATGTTTGACAAATTAAACTGGCGAATGTGTGATTTCGAACATCAGGCACTAGTAATTGATTTGGCGAAAGTGTACCGTTCAATACAAATGAGTACATATAATTACGCAGTTGCATTTTCTTAGGAAACAGATGGACGTAACATAATGCGCATGCGCTTCTTTCGAAGTAATCCACTTTGGAATATCCAACTACTCGATCTCTGCAAAGTTGAGGTCTTTGTAACGGGCTTGCTAATGGGAGCTCATCTTCCTGAAAAATGTAAAATACACGTTTTGACATTTTAAAGAGTAATATGTATTCATTCCTTCATAAACGGGGGCGGAGGGTTAATCTCCCATATCGTACCGTGAGTTTTTATGTCTGTCATCTCCCAAGCCCCGTGGTTCTCCCTCATTTTGTCGTTTACTACGCTGGGAAAACAAGATGGACGATTTAAAATTTGGTAAATACGCTTCAACAACTACAAAATGTAATTGTCAATTTTTGGGATAATCAAAACAATATCAGGCCCGTAGCCAGGATTTGCCAAGGGGGGGGGGGGGGGCACCTTTTGAAAAATCCAGGGGGCCACTTGTGACAATTTTGGTCCAAAAATGGCCAAAACACTTAAAAAGTGCTCAGAATAGTGAAAACTGCATGATTTTGAAAGACTTTTTTGGCCGGGTAGGGGGGGGGGGGGGGGGGGGTGCGGTGGGGTCGCTTATATAATTATATGATATCATATCTTGTAATTCTATACCCCAAAAATAGAAAGATATACAGGGTGGTGAAAAAAGGAAACCCGAATACCATTTTCCTCATATCTTTGTCATTTTGATGAATAACTCCCTGATATTTTACACTTTTGTACATCACTCAATTTGTTACCAGTCTACTTTGTTTCATGACCATCAGATTGATAGTCACAATGTTACAGTTCTTTAAAGAACATGCCCAGTGGTCACTATTGTGTTGTGGGGAAACCTGTACTCATCGTCTAAAATGTCCCTACCTGTGGGGATATGGCAGAGATAGAGTATATGAGAATGACCTCAGGACAATTGCAAACCTCAAAAGTGAGATCCGTGTCATTCAGGCCATACATGCTGAGGAATGCATTCGGGTCATTGACAACTGTGCAGGTTTGCATACAGCGCGACAATGGCCAAACCTGAAGCATGTTATACAAAGTGCTGTAAAATTGTGACTATCAGACTGATGGTCATGAAATATGGTAGGGTTGAATGATATACATATGTGTGAAATATCAAGGAGTTATTTCTTAAAGTGACAAAGATATAAGGAAAATGCAGGATTTCCATTTTTGACCACCCTTTATTAAAGAATATGATTATATCGATTTCGATATCAAATAAATGAGTTGTCTTCAGACGATAGAAGGTGGATATTTTGCTCCAAACAAAGCCCAGCTATGAATTATCGCTTACATCCTCTTGTCTAAGCGTGAGATTTTAGCGATGTGTTATATCTCCGTTGACAAGTTATAAGCTCATTCCAGCAATTAGTGGTGCTTTATAAAAACTTTAATCGCACTCAAAACGTACAGAAATTAATAACTAACGTAGAGAGTAAATAATGTGTATCATAAAATCCAAGTAGCAAAAAATTAAAGGCTGGTGTTGATTTACAAAAAGAAATTACAGCACTTACGTTCTATGCCATGCGAGGTAGGTTAATGGGAAGAGGGTGCCATCTAGGGCGTATGTAGATTGAGGCAATTATCCTTAGTCACGAAATATGAATCGAGTACAATTAGAAGAGAGACCTAATAACCAGAATGTAATAGATGTGAGTAACGTCCAAGATATAAGTGGTGCCGATGAAGCATTGAAGCATGACATTCTACTACTCGTAATGGCGGAGTGTAGTGCATAAATGCAATTGTTTCATGCAGTGTAATTATCTCTCAATGACAAAGCATATGACCTTGGAAAAAGGCGTGCGCAAAAACAATATGGCTGAAGCTCTGTTTTACTATGATTTACCTTAGCATGAAACATAAGCGATAAAACAAACTCAGTATAGGAATAGTTGGGCAATTTAAATCTAATCTAATTTTTCAAAAGGTCAAAGATTAAAACACTATCAACTCTTGTACAAATTTGAAGCTGGTTTTGGAAAGACCGCGTGATGTCTCACTGTACAGGCTAGACATATCGACTAGGCTACTAGATATAGTATCCAGTTTTCTCCCGAAGGGGAAACCTCTTAGCTCGATGCCGCTCCTCGCATTTTTATATAGTTGTTTGTATTTTATACCGCTGTATTTGTAAATAGGTTCGAAATGCCTTATGGCTGACGTTACGAGAACAACAAAAAAACAGGATATTACAGATCGTGCATAAGTTTATTGGCAAATTGCATTGGCCGATATTTTAATAACGACTTCTAATTTTGTGATACTTGCATATTCTGAATGCACGACGGCGTATGATATGTTTTGACAAGATTTAATCAGAACTAGACTCTTGGGTGTAATAAGCAATACTTTGTGCTATTTTCAACAATCTAGATATATCACTTTCTTTGGTTAGTTCAAAACATAGGATAAAATATATGCAATCCTTTCACGATTCTAGCAATAATATCGTCATAGAAAATAGATTGTTGACATACATTTGTTGCTTATATTGACACGTGAATGAACCTTCTACAGGGTCAATATTCTTACATAAACCAGTGAGTAATAATCATATTATTACCCTGATAAAGGTTGATGGTTATATGTTTTGCTTATATATAATTTTTAAAACGGAATACTTATATCCACTTAATTTCCAACCAAATAGTTGCATTTAGTGATAATCCCTATGGTGTCGTATGCAGTATAGTCCACCCCTAAAAAGGATCACATGACCTTTACCGATTTGTGTTTGGCGATTTAAAAATATCATCAAATTTTTCATCAATTTCCGAACTTTTGCATTTAAGAACCAACAGTAAGATCCAAATATTGACAGGCTTTACTACGCTGTCAAATGAAAACGTCCAGCTTTAATTTAACACTTTCGTGGACATATAATGCCCGGGTCACATTTGCCCCGATCCATTTGCCGGCGCCCGGCCGATTGAGTGTCTTGTTCAATATTGTATTCAATTTTGAACAAAATACTCAATCGGCTGAGCGCCGTGGTGAAAATCGGAGCAAATGTGACAAAGGCATTATAGTGTGTCATCTGATTTGAATTTTACAACATAACTCTAGAATATAGATGATAACTAGAAATGTGCCTTCTCAAAAGGAATTCTCTATCACCGATTGCCAGCGCAGGAGACTTTGAAGTTTGTGTTGACCTTTACATGATGATTTCATTATATCGGTCAAGCCAAGTAACTTAGTCAACATTCGATATTCGTATGTTCATCAATATTAACTAAGAATGGTGCCACAATTGAAGTAAACCTCTGTTTAATTATTTTCAATTAACCTATCAGCAAACGTGTAAATGATAAATTTGATGTTCTGTTACATATTGGTGAAGCAATCTTGGGGATATGGCCTAAATTTCTGAATTTCCACTATGTCCCTGTATACCCCTACTTCAAAAGATGTATGTTATTGGTCATTTTTCATTATGAATCAACCATTATGTATTTTTTCTTGTTTACATACAGAATGAACTTTCTGTTTTCAAATATTGAAAGATGGTACTCCATCTATTTTTTCATGATATGGAGCAAACAAATGCGTGTCAATTTACACTGTAATATCCCACATACTTATATTTCAAGGGTAATTTTGAAGAATAATCAAGAAAATCCATGTTTTCAAATGAATGCATCCTTGTTAAAGAACGTAAATGAGGATGTGCGGTTTGAAAAACTAACAACATGTTTTAAGTTCTTACAATTCTTGGTTAAAACAAATATTTTGAAAGTTGTGATTTCGAATGTAATATCAAACTCAATGAAATTTGTTGATATTTGTGAATTTTTTCTTTCGGAATGTACATTGCTGGATCACACAACATTGCCTCTTTCGAGATGCACGAAAAGTTTATTGCTAATACTTGACGTCGTTCGGATATTTGGATGTGATTGACGTTTTTGTTAATCTCCAACCACTGTAACTTCCAACTTAATTTTTAAAGCCAAATATGATAGTCACGAATAGATATTTAAGTCACACGTTGATGCATACATCATGTGTGTACATTAATTGTCAAATGCATGCCGACTTACATTTATATAAATATCCACAGTTAACTCAAATCATCAACTCTCGAAACTGTTTATCAAATAACCTGGTGAGTTTAATGTTTCATTTTAATTCATAATTATGGTATCGGATTTGAGTATGATATTAGTCGAGGCTTAAACAAAGCAATAAAATTGTGTGAATCATTTTGTGAAAATTTGAACGATTTTTCAAGAATCCTCCTTCAAAGTGTTACCACAGTGCTCCCCGGGAGTAGAAATTTCGTCTTGTGTAATCAAAATAATAGCGGGTGGTTTGAATTTTTGTTTGAGTTTATAGCCCAGCATCTATAAATTTAAAAACGTGTCGCCTCATTGAGAGGTACATGCAGATTTTGGCGATCTATCATTCTAAAAGGCTAAATTTTGTGCAAAAACAGGAGTTGACACGCTTACATTTGGAATTGAAATTTCCTACATAATTGTCGACTCATGTTTAAAAGTCATGCAAACAAGGTTGAACACAAAACAATGACCTAATTACTGTCTATTTAGCATGGGATCACTTAGGGAAATATTATTAATGACTTAAATCGTTAACAGTTAAGTTGAATCCCAAGAAACTTATCAATTTAGAAATGCAAAATGTTCAATTTTGTTTTCAATTATAAAAATGGCACCTGTAGAGAACAACGTTTACAAAATTATTTAAAACGGAGATATTTACTAATGTAACATTCGTTGGCATGTGTCAGCGAGTAAACAAGAAGAATATGCATATGATTCTATATCTTGTTCCCAAAGGAGTTTGTTAAGGAGCGGTATATCTTAACGTACTTTTATCATCCCGAACTCAAATATTTCGAACACTTATTTCGAGAACGCTTTGTTGAGAATGGATTCGAGATGTACTCAAAATTAATACGTTAAAATGTGTATTATCGTCTTAATAACCACCTCACAAATTATTTTGAAAATCAAAGATGTACGATTTTTGAGATTTTTATTTTCGAATGTTGACTTACTTACTCAGCTTGACTTTGTGGGGACCCCTTTGGGGGTATTGGACCAACCAGAGGGCCCTCACATCACCAATTGATCATGGTTTATTTTTCCACTTATCTACAGGAACGTAAAGGAACAATGAACTTTGTATACATGGTCTCTATGACTGTTTATTTTGCATTTAGTAAGTTTACATTGAAAATTGAATATTTTGTTGAAAAATGAATATTTTGTATACATGTACCATATGGTGTCTCATAAGCCGGCATCGGCTGGAAGCAAATGTTTTTAAAATGTTTTAAATGTATTTTAACATGCTTGTGACACAAAAATAAACTATATTAAACTTAAACTAAACTGATATTATTGTTTCGGATCTCGGTTTCCGCAACATAAATTCCAGCAAGCAGGTAGCTAGTGCTTAGCTTTTACTATATATGTGACAGTGATTCGGATTGACTTACGTAGATATATCAAATCAAGCAATTAACACTCTAGTCCATAATTCGGAAGTCTTGACAAACAGAAGTCTTCTTTTTGATCATTTATTAAAGCCTGTTTGCGTTTGGCAATTAAAAAACATCAAATAATTGTTCATAAATTTCCGAACTATTACAGGGCGTTTAATAAGTATTTCAATAATGTATTTTTCATATATCTTAATAATTTTTCTGGAGTGCATTGTAAAGTATTATACTGATGTACTGTGAAAATTACAGGGCTGTACTCAAACAGGAAGATGGTGCTGGGCCGAGCCAAAGATGGTTAGTGGTGGATCAGGTCTGCACCGAAAAAAGTCTCAAAATGACCAACTTATTAGAATGTGAATGTTGCTCGTCAGTCAATTGCTTGCGCACCAACTTATCACACATCAATGTTACCTCTAAATCATTATGAGTTACATGGTATGTGCAACTAACACTTGAATCAGTCATGTCTGCAATTTTACCAATATGAATTCATTCAATATTCATTTTATTGTATTAATCTGACTAGGGGAAGTTGCAGTCTTTGGTCACCCGTGTCTGGGTTCATCTTCAACTGACTTTCTCCCTCTTTGAAATAGAGGTACCAACGATATATGCCAAGGGCAGATATAGTGTCCTTTCCATAAGCTCCATGAATGTATCCTTTATTGTATCCTGATTTGATTTACCTAGAAGTATATAGAACTTGTTGCTACTTCTAATTTGATGCTGAATATTATTGATATTCTGTTCAGCAGTCATGTTGATGACATAATTTCTGCTGATCAGTTCGTGCAATGTAATTTCTCCATGAAGTCATCCGATCTTAAATTGCTCTATGATATCATGGGCTCACCGTGACATGTAATTGTATTCTTATGAATTGCTCCGTGCTGTCATTTCCACCTTACAATTTGCTCTTGGATGTCATTAAGGTACCTACCAAGGTATCTTAGAACCAGTGTTTATTTACCAACTGTCAAAATGGATTCAAAAATAAAATTATGCATGAAAATATTCAGATTTTATGTCAGTTATTTTGAAAAAAAATTCGTGCAGACCTGAACCACGACGAACCATCTTAGGCTCCACCCAGTACCAACTTCCCGTTAAAGAACATTCTTGTTACTCTCACAGTACATCGATACAATACTCAACAATATACAGGAGAAAAGTTAGTCAGAAATATAAAATATTAAAAAGGTTACAACATGTTATCAGTACTTATTGAACGCCCTGTACAATTAGAAAACGGCAACTCCACGGAGTAGCAAATCCCAACGGACACTAAAACATGTATGAATTTGTATTTGTCACAAAAATCCGAACATTAGAGATATATCAGAATTTTTACTTTAAGCATTTTGTTGGCCATTTAATTATAATTGTGATCTACCCAAAATTTCCTTCAATTTGAGAATAATATAGTAGCCACACTTTGAAGAGATCAGAAAATTATTGTGAAATTCCTCATAAGGCGGTCATTTTGAATTTTACGAGGCCAAAAATAAAAAAAAACGATACAATATTTGCAATCTACTCTAAATTGCCTTTATTTTGAGTATAATAAAGCTATACTTCTGAGAGATCTCAAAATTAATTGCAAATTGATGTTTTTCCGACACCCAATCTCTGGCCCCTGGGCGTCAGTGTGAAAAACACAGAATATATGCGAAATAGATAGATGTTGTGAATATACTACCAACATTTCAAATAATAATATATATTACTTTGGTTTAAAATGAAAAAGACATTGTTTTATTTATTACTTTGGTTTAAAATGAAAACCATGAAATGAAAAATGAAAAATTGGTAAAAAGACATTGGTTCTGTAATGAAACTCAACACCACAGCACGTGAAGCCAAGTGGATTGCTCCCAGGGGAAATCCAATACCGATCATTACATCATTTTCATTTTAGAAAGCAATATAGGAATAAAGATTATTCAAAATCCTTTGATCGTCAAAACTATAAGACGCCAGCATTGATAACATGAACATAATAGTTCCATAAACCCATAAACGACGCCATTCTTCCTACCAAAAAAGGATATTGGATCGATTTATGATGTTTTATATTGTAGGTGACAAGGAGCTCGAAACGTTTTCAAGGAAGAAAACAGAATCAAGTCGTCCTTCCAAATGGTACCACCTTTATCACTAAAAATGGGTAATGGAAAAAATGAACAAATCACATGATAGGGTGACAATGCTACATATATGGGTTTAGAGGGGGATACATATATAGAAAACACACTGTACCTAAGTACTATGACAAAACGAATCTTCCTTAGATCTCTCCTCTGAACTGGCAAACCACTTGATTAAGCATGTACACTGTACGAAAAGGCGTGTTTTTACTTCACTCTATTCGATTAATTCAAATGTATTATTGGAAATTATTTAATTGAAAATTCGGTTTGTAAGTGTTGACTTCAAACTATGGCACATACCTATTAATCATTCTGTTCTCAGGTGATACGAGAGGAAGATGTATATTTTATCTCAACTTGTTATGAATAATAGCTTAATAATGATTATTTTGCAACGTTTGAACGAGTGAACTTGAGTTATGTCTATGGATATGAAGTACGCAAGCACTTAGCCGATTGGTGATGGGAAGGAAGCAGGGACCGGGTCAAAATACCGATCCTCCGATTCACCCATCAGACTGTCTACTTGACATCTGATGCCAACTCACTCTCTGTCAACTAATATATAGTTGACTATTCCTTACCAAATTATGAAAATCTTTGGAGTGAAAACATTGAATGTTAAAAATCGGCGACCAAAAGAATAACATAAGTTTGAACTGAAAAGGATATCCTGGAAGAACCATAAAGTTGTGAGAAAATCAATGATCATTATAAATACACGTATGAGGTCCATCTACTTAATTAAATAGTACACATTTAGAGGATATGCTTTTTTGTGTTATCCTAATGTACATAATTTAGAACAACATTTGCTATTCATGTGATATATGTATAATTCTGATATAGATAAAATTTTTATGAAGTAGTAATGTGCATACCCTCATCGAAAACTCATAAAAGATACAGATGATGGCGTATTGCTTTCCTACACGATTTTTCTCCGTGTCCTCCCTTGTCTTAACCCATCCCCCTTTAAACGTAATTTGTTTCGTGTTTAAAACGAAACAGACATTCTGACAGTATCCCTAAATATTATAAATTGTTTCAAAATACAATATATGAGAACACATTCAGAATATAACGTTTAGTGAAGATGTGCAAGCCCGTAGCCAGGGGGGGGATCGATGAGTTCGAGCGAACCCCCCCCCCCCTGCCCCCCTGGCCAAAAATTCTTTCAAAATCATGCAGTTTTTCATCATTCTGAGCACATCTTAAGTGATTTTGGCCAGTTTTGGACCAAAATTGTCAAAAGGGAACCCCCCTGGAAATTTTCAAAAAGTGAACTCCCCTTGGCAAATCCTGGCTACGGGGCCTGATGTGCAAAGAGTACCTATCAGTTACCGTGCTTCTGTCAATACAATTCATGTCAAGAGTCAACAAATACGTACGCTTGTCACCTTCTCTAAGATTACACACCTACATATTACAACAACAGCCTCGGGGAGACCAAATGAAATTGTTTTTATGACGTGTTATTTCTAATTTATCAGCTTTCAAATAAAGATATTGCATGTTGAGTAAATGACTTTTCCAAGAATTAATATGAGAAGCAAAATACCTTAGGTGGATCGATTGACGCGACCAAGACACATTGAAGATAGCACAATAGCGTAAGCCAAGTATAATCCATTCTTCAAACGTTCAGACTCCAGTTGACTTCTGGATCACGTAAGAATCATTGTCTGCAGTTGTAGCGTAACTGAAAGCAAATAGAACAATAAATATGAGATTATTAATGATACAATAAGATATTTTTCATCTCGATTTACAACTCACAGGGTCCCCATTGTTTGCAATTGGATGTTTCTCAAATAAAGATTCAATAATCTGAATAGATATTAAAGTCAATGAGAAACAGAACGTGTACATGTATTTAGTCCTAAAATTTCTTGTTTCCTATATAGGTGTAAAAGGGTAGATGGTCCTATCAAATGTCGGTCATACTCTCTTCTGATTTATATGGTGACATAATTACAATTATTTTCCTTATTACCTATGCGAAGGGCCAGTAAGGGCCGTACGGAAAGGGGATCATAATCCGCAGGGGACCATCATTTCTTCGAAAGAACTAGAACTGTTAGATAGCTGTGTAGCAGTAGGTCTTTTTCTGGTATTTGAGGTTCCAGGTTCGATTCTAGGTTCAGACGAAACATTGGCAAAGCAATAATGAATGATACGGTATGGCATAGTGGTCCACAAAATACAATAATGCTAAAATTTGAAAATTACTCTAAGTTTGTTTTGTAAAACTCTTTTTCTATCAATATACTTTGCTCAAACCCAAACAGTTGTATGTTGTATGTGTATTCACTTCATCGGAATTTAATAAAAGACACCAATACACGTGTTCTACAGATGTTTATGAATAAGGCCTTCAAGACAAAGCAAAATAGGCCAATTAAATGGATTGTTGTATTTAACACTGCGTCAAAAGCACTCAAATCTCCATGGGATTTATAAAATATTTAGCGATTATTAAGAAAAATAATTCAACAATCACCGTAAATAGTTGACCTTCGTTTAGATAGATATCACTAAATACCAACTAGGTATTTAAGTCATATACCGTTTTTCAAATAACCCATGAATAGTGTTGGTTATTTATGATGTATTTATTTACTGCTTGGAATGTATTTGTAGTTTATTAGCGTGTATTTATCATGTCATGTAAATACACAGGGGTATCCATTTGGGTATTAATGCCATCTGACCCGAGTTACGTCATCCATCTTATTTGATACCAATGAGTATTTATGGTATTTATAACGTAATGTTGATACTCTGATTGGATTTATTGAGTATCAATGGTCATTTAGCCCCAGTTTCGTTACGCTATTGGATTAATGATATAAATACCTGAACGCATTTGCGCTAGATTATGAAGTATTTTCAAATTATTAGTCTGATCATCAATTTTTATGATAAATACATCAAGTGCTTATTTAAGGGTACTAATAGCATAAAACAGGATTTCTTAATGGATGGGGGGGGGGGCGCTGAGGTATATACTCTGTCCTGGTTATAATACTGAAGCATATTAATGCGATATGACCTTGCTTCACTTTCATAAATGTGGCAAAAATGTACAATTTATTTTTAATAGCTTTATTAATAATCTATATCATGATTTTACATTAATTAAGCTTTAATTGACATATAGGCCGGACATATAATCAGGCATTTACAGTCCATATTATGTTGTATATGAATGATGTAAAATTATACTACAGTATGAATCTACAGATTCACTGAATCCAAACCTCTTCATTATGTCGTAACTACAGGGTGACTAAAAGTAGGAGCAACCCGTAACACAGTTAATACATAAATAAAACAATAAATACTATTGCTTAACGTTAATATTTTACCCATAATGAAGCTAAGGTAATCAAATTCCCTGAGTTTCATGTCTCTCATTCAAACGGTTCTTCTTTATTGTCTTTCAAAGACTATGTTCGGTTTCGCCTACTTGACCACACCAGAGTATTTCGTTTAACAGTTCTTTGATCTATCAGAGGGTCCTATACAGTACGCTTTCTCTCATGGCTGCATGGACGTAATCTCCAAGTTTACAGTCCTGAATCCTTTTAATGCTTTTATCTTTGATCTTGATTAAAGCCTTCTGTTCTCCATCGTGGAGTTCTCAAGTTGACCGGCTTTGTCTCACTTTCGAACTCCTCGTCAGACACTATTTCGGTTGTTCCTCCAATACTCCACATATGGAATTGTCTCATTTACTGACCTTCTTTCCTTCCCCCTGTAATGAAATGGGAGGTTAACAGTTAACAGAACTAAGGGGAAAAGCTTGCATAGCAATAACGTTACAATAAAATGTAGTCACAGGATTGTAAATATTTATTGACACAGGTGTGCACCTACTTGTTGCCATATAATTGTACCTTCTTATTGCCACAGGACGGTACCAACTTAATGCTACATGATTACCACAAGATTGTACCTTACCTTTAAGCTTGCATAGCAATAACGTTACAATAAAATGTAGTCACATGATTGTACAGGTTTGACACAAGAGTGTACCTACTTATTAATTGCCATAGAATTGTACCTTTTTATTGCCACAAGATTGTACCTACTTATTGCCACAGGTTTGTACCTACTTATTGCCACAGGTTTGTACCTACTTATTGCCAAAGGGTTGTACCTACTTACGGCCACATAATATTTACCTACTTCCTGCCACAGGATTGTACCTACTTACTGCCTCATGGCTGTACCTACTTACAGTCATAAGTGTACCTTCTAATTGTACCTACGTATAGCCACAGGGTTGTACCTACGTATAGCCACATGATTGTACCTACGTACAGCCACAGGATTGTACCTACATATAGCCACAGGATTGTACCTACGTATAGCCACAGGATTGTACCTACTTATTGCCACAGGATTGTACCTACTTATTGCCACAGGATTGTACCTACGTATAGTCACAAGATTGTACCTACGTATAGCCACAGGATTGTACCTACGAATAGCCACAGGATTGTACCTACGTATAGTCACAGGATTGTACCTACGTATAGCCACAGGACTGTACCTACGTATAGCCACAGGATTGTACCTACGTATAGTCACAGCATTGTACCTACGTTTAGCCACAGGATTGTACCTACGTATAGCCACAGGATTGTACCTACGTATAGCCACAGGATTGTACATACGTCTGGCCACAGGATTGTACCTACGTATAGCCACAGGATTGTACCTACGTATAGCCACAGCATTGTACCTACGTATAGCCACAGGATTGTACCTACATATAGCCACAGGATTGTACCTACGTATAGCCACAGGATTGTACCTACGTATAGCCACAGGATTGTACCTACCTTCGGCCACAGGATTGTACCTACGTATAGCCACAGGATTGCACCTACGTATAGCCACAGCATTGTACCTACGTATAGCCACAGGATTGTACCTACGTATAGCCACAGGATTGTACCTACTTATTGCCACGGGATTGTACCTAAGTATAGCCACAGGACTGTACCTACGTATAGCCACAGGATTGTACCTACGTATAGTCACAGCATTATACCTACGTATAGCCACAGGATTGTACCTACGTATAGCCACAGGATTGTACCTACGTATAGTCACAGCATTGTACCTACGTATAGCCACAGGATTGTACCTACTTATTGCCACAGGATTGTACCTCTTTACTGCCACAGGATTGTACCTACGTATTGCCACAGGATTGTATCTACTCACTGCCTCATGATTGTTCCTACTTACTGCCACAGGATTGTACCTACGTTCTACCACAGGTTTGTACCCTCTTATTGCTACAAAATTGTACCTACTAACTGTCATAGGTCTGTACCTTCTTATTGCCACAATAGTGTACCTACTTACTCCCACAGGTTTGTACCTACTTACTGCCACAACATTGTATCTACTTACTTACTTAATCACAGGATTGTACCTACGTATAGCCACAGGATTGTACCTACGAATAGCCACAGGATTGTACCTACGTATAGCCACAGGATTGTACCTACGTATAGCCACAGGACTGTACCTACGTATAGCCACAGGATTGTACCTACGTATAGTCACAGCATTTGACCTACGTATAGCCACAGGATTGTACCTACGTATAGCCACAGGATTGTACCTACGTATAGCCACAGGATTGTACCTACGTCTGGCCACAGGATTGTACCTACGTATAGCCGCAGGATTGTACCTACGTATAGCCACAGCATTGTACCTACATATAGCCACAGGATTGTACCTACGTATAGCCACAGGATTGTACCTACGTATAGCCACAGGATTGTACCTACGTCTGGCCACAGGATTGTACCTACGTATAGCCACAGGATTGTACCTACGTATAGCCACAGGACTGTACCTACGTATAGCCACAGGATTGTACCTACGTATAGTCACAGCATTTGACCCATGTATAGCCACAGGATTGTACCTACGTATAGCCACAGGATTGTACCTACGTATAGCCACAGGATTGTACCTACGTCTGGCCACAGGATTGTACCTACGTATAGCCGCAGGATTGTACCTACGTATAGCCACAGCATTGTACCTACATATAGCCACAGGATTGTACCTACGAATAGCCACAGGATTGTACCTACGTATAGCCACAGGATTGTACCTACGTATAGCCACAGGACTGTACCTACGTATAGCCACAGGATTGTACCTACGTATAGTCACAGCATTTGACCTACGTATAGCCACAGGATTGTACCTACGTATAGCCACAGGATTGTACCTACGTATAGCCACAGGATTGTACCTACGTCTGGCCACAGGATTGTACCTACGTATAGCCGCAGGATTGTACCTACGTATAGCCACAGCATTGTACCTACATATAGCCACAGGATTGTACCTACGTATAGCCACAGGATTGTACCTACGTATAGCCACAGGATTGTACCTACGTCTGGCCACAGGATTGTACCTACGTATAGCCACAGGATTGTACCTACGTATAGCCACAGCATTGTACCTACGTATAGCCACAGGATTGTACCTACGTATAGCCACAGGATTTTACCTACTTATTGCCACAGGATTGAACCTGCTTACTGCCACAGGATTGTACCTACGTATAGCCACAGGATTGTACCTACTTATTGCCACAGGATTGTACCTACTTATTGCCATAGGATTGTACCTACGTATAGCCACAGGATTGTA